AAGATCCGGGACTGGGTGCCGAAGGCAGTGAAGAACGCCGACGTGTTGGACCTCTTCATGGCTGACTTGTACGACGGGATATGTGGTGATGGTGCCTTTTTGCTCCAATATGTTCCGATTTAGAGGCTGAAATTGCAGCAGAAGAGCCACGGGATGCCTCACGCTGGCGCGCCATTGCGCGGAAACAGCTTTCGACACAAGTGACCTGCGCATGTCCCTCTTGCAGCGCATCCTCCAAGTCCTCTCTCTGCCGCGCCCACGCCCAGGAGATATTGCTGATCCTGCAAAAGTGGAGGAAGCCTTCGGCGAGCGGGTCACCGAGCTCGCCCGGACCGTCGCTGAGCTTCAGCGCACGATTGGAGTGCAGCTCGTCGGTGTGGATGTGTGTCCTTTCGTTGTGCGTGCAGGCGCGGCGTTTGACCCAGCCGCGATGGACGACATGTGGGACGAGGAGCAATTTCCCCTGCAGCACGGCGCCCGGATGGAGACAGTCATATGCACCACCAGCGTCGGGCTAAGGGAAGGCCGGCCTGGGGGCGACGGGCGAGTGGTTTTGAGGCCCAAGGTGTTGTTAAGGTCGACCCTGAGCGATCTGCGTCGTGGCGTGTACGCATAGTGAAGGACGCCTTTGGTTGATGGTGGTGGTCTCAGATCAAGCGGGTAACAACGTGACATGATGTGGAGCTTAATCAGTCACTGTCAATGAGCTGAATGACACCACGAATGTAAACTTTGTCTGAAAATGGTAGCCTAAACTTTCATAGCAGGTTGTAGACCAATATGATCTTGTATAGATTTTTGTTCATTTATTAATTTACCTCGGCCTGAATCTTGTCCGCCGAATGAGGCAAATCTTGTTAAAGATATCAGAATGTGGTTGTTTGACAGAATATGAAGAATGTCACAAGGGGGGGCTCCCATCAGGCACGTCCGGTGGGGGTCCCAGAGGAGTAAAATCTTTTTGTTGTACAGTTGAAACTGTTGTCTGGAATTATCTTTTAAGTACGGAATACTGAATATTCCGTGATTTTCGGTTGGAATATAGAATAAGCTTATAGCAGCATTGAGTAGTTTATACTAAGTGGAGACTAAAACTAGTGAATTTGGCTTGGTTGTACTTTGTTGACCCTTGGTACATTTAATTTATGGCTAATACTTAATAACAAGATGACACTCTGGCAGTTGTACTTTGTTAAGTAGCTTCTCAATAAACAATGCTGTAATAAAAAGTTTCTCTGTGGTTACTATGAGATATATTAATAAAACAAAGGATGAACTGTACCACAAAAGAATCCCTCAAGCCCTATTGCTGCCCTAAGCCAAACCCAGTAAGGCTCCAACTAATTACTATCCATATACACTCTAAGGCTGTATTGTACTTATTGGGATATGGATAGTATTGAGTTATAACCCAATATATTGAGTATATAGTAGATAATATATTGTTTTAAAATATTATTTTATATATCACAATCATGATAGTTAGTAACTGTCTAGTATAGTTCTGCCATATGCTAGGGACCATAATAACATCTTGGTTACAGGTCCAGAAAGTCTTAGAGCTGCAAAAAGATGACATTGAGGTTAACCACGGCTTTTAATAGTCAAATATAATAGTAAAACAGCACAGATATCAGATTAAGAGGAAACTGGGTAATAAGATAAATGTTGTGTTTATAGTTAACTATAAAACTCTCTTCTTATCATGATACTTACAGTCTTTTGATTGTGATGAAATTTCCTTATATGGAAATTTTGAAGTTTAACCTAGATTTATGATTGATATATGAGATATTGTACTTGAGTTGTACTACAAATTTCTATTGACAGAAATGTAACTGAAAATTTATAATAATAATAAGGTTGTTTAGATGGGTCAGTTTGTAGGTCAGTTGAAAGCTGTGGTCAAAGTAGCATCTGAACTTTTAGTCAGATATCAGATATAGTCCCAAAGAGTATAGTAACAAAGACTCAAAAAATACCTTATCTGAAAGAAGTTGACTTGATAACACCTTGTATAACCTACAGATACTGCCTATATAGGCCTCTGAAGTATAGAGTATCTATACAGTATATACTCTATACTACAAAAATTTTGCCACACTGTATATATATGGATTGTATTGGGTTATAACTCAATATATTCAGTATTGTATTTGGTTGGAGCCTTAATTTAACCCAGGCCAAAGCCAAAGGATGCTCCAAAGACACCACAACATGCCATAATCTTATATTTAATAACTGATACCAGGTTTTCAACTTTATGGAAGCCTGCCCTGCTATGTCCTAGACCACGGTCTTTAAATACAGTATTTAAAGACTGTATAAAGGTTTAAAAATAATTTAAATCATTTACAAATAATTCTATAGAAGGATAATTTTCTGAGCAGATATTAAGGACACAAAAAAATCAGGTACTTTTCCTGCAAGACTAAATCATATTACCAGATAATGTTAATACCCAAGATATTATAAGATAGCTACATCACTAAGATTAGGCAATAATAGTATTGCCTAGTAATTTAAAACATTCTGAAAGTAAAAAACTGCAATAGACTGTATTATATACATGATGTTAAAAAACAACAACTTCCAACCCTAACAAAGACACTCAAAGGGAGTATCTCATAGGATTAATGTTTGAATCATTTATTTTCATTTGTTTATTGTTTGCCAGTTAGCTAAACAAAATGATCATTTAAATGTTTATTATTGTTTACAAATGATTTCAAACTAAAATGATTGGCATCTTATAAATACTTTGCCACCCACTTAAACTTAGAGGGAGGGATGCTGGCCAATTTAATCAAGGTGCTTTGCCTTTATCTCCCAAAAGTTAGTCTAAAAGTAATAATTTTTAAAGAATTCTTTTTTTGAAGGAAGTTAACTATGTGTACTTCTTTTACTGACTTTTTAAGAAGGGAAATTACTCTTGTAAAATAGGTTGTTGCAAAGACAATTTGTAGCCGGTTAAAGGCAACCCCTACGAGGACCTTGATCTGGGAAGATATTACTCTACTTAGGCTCTGTTAGACCCTTATCAGTTCTCTGACCCAAAGTAGGCCTACTACTAGGAAGGTTCTCAAGATTATCATTGATTAACTATGGTATTTGATTACTATTAATGCAGAATTGTGTATAAGTGCAACACCCACAGAAGTATTATGCCCAAGCTTTAGGCTAAAACATATACATAAATTTTGTAGATTCACAAAAGGCTAGCCCAAAATAGGCTCATCATTCTTGATATAGATAGCCCTGATAATAATGCTGTGAGAGATTTATAATAGCTATAAAGTTAATTTAAGTGCTGGACAGGTTCAGCTAAGGGGCTATACAATTCTGAGTTCAAATCTTACATTATACTCAAAAAAAAATTAGTTTCTAACTAGTTGTAAAAGAGCAATTAAAGTTTATTCTGTAGGTATCTACCTTTTTACAGCTACCTTCTAGGACATATATCAAGAGCTAACTAGAAAAGACAGAACAACGTGTCAGCAAGCAGCACTTAATATGCATCAGACCAGCTGAGCCTATTATAGGCATATAGTACCTGATGGATACCTGCAGCCAGGTTACTCTACAATGCCGTGTACAGGCTTCTGATAAGTAGCCTGTGTATAGTTAAAGCTTCTCACGACTGGCACAGGTGAGGTACCTTCACTCACCTGCAGGTTTTTCTGCTTAAAAATCAATACCTCCATCCTAGTAGGTAGTAGGACACAAGGTACCTCCATCCGCGGATACAGGTACCTCTCACAGGTACCTGCGGATGGTGAGAGGTAATATCTATTGGATCATATATGAAGACAGTAATTGTCTGTTGAAAAGTGTTCATAAGCTTCAATAAATGATATTTGCTGCACTATCAATCGATTAGACAGGACCAAAAGTAGTATAAGTGAGTATAAGTGCATAAAGTAGAGGTACCTGTGACCTTCTGCACCAAGACCTCCATCCCCTACCATCCGTGGGAAAACAGGTATCCCCATCCTCAGGTATGAAAACCTGTGGATGCGGATGCCAGATACCTGTGGGTTTTCTTTGGAGGTTTTAACCAGTTGTCCCGCCTCCTGCAGGCCAGCCAGTCCAAGAACTTAGCCTCTGGCAGCGATCAACCCCCCGGAATCGGTCTGTGTTCCACTGATAGTATTTAGTGTTAGGATAACCACCCTGACGTAGCTACTTCTGTCTTTGGTAAACTCGTTGTTCAGGCTGTGGACCATGCGAGTATAATATATCCCCCCCCTGTGAAACCATCCGCAGTCCGCAGGTCCAGCCACTCCTGAGGTGCTTTATGTATAGTTATTAGTCAGGCCATAGACAAGCCATAGACACTGCAGGAGTTTGGGAATAAACAGCACCCCTTTCGATCGATTATACACTTAAAATCCATGCACCAAAAAAAGAAAAAATTTTATGCCTCTATTTGCACCCAAAAAAGATTGTTCCAAATTTGCCTGCTTATATAAGAAATAGATACTATAAACAGACTCAGTTTTGTCACCCACTTTGGTGGCGGATTAAACAGCCTTTTCTAGACCAACTTTTGTATCCAAACAAGGACCAAAAATATTCCTGTATATTCATTTATATAATATATATCAGGGCCCTGGACCATACAGGATAATATAAGTTGCTATCGTGCCTATGTTGTGACATAGGATAACAGACATAGGATAATAGACCCAGCGAGCACCCAGTCGCAGGGCCGGCTCGTACCCGGCTTGCGCGCATCGCTTTTCCTCATCAAAAATTTTTCGCCGTCGGCCGAGCGTCGGACATCGGCGCTGACGTCGGATCATGCATGGGCACGTGCGCACACGTCATCGCTTGCCTTTTTTGCTCCACCCCACCACCGCGATTGCGTGCCTGCCCCACCGGCGACGTGACCGTGGAGCGTGGCGCCGACAAGCGACGCTGGGCGTGATATAAGGGCCCCATCGCCCCTCCTCTCCCCTCCAATTCCCCAATTCCCCGCTTGCTTCCAGCCGCGAAGCATGCTCGCGACCGACCAGCGCCCGCCGCTCCCAACCATGCCGTCGACCCCGGGGCCGGACGTCCCGGGCGGGTACCCGCGCACCAGCGTCGTCTTCGCAGGCAACCGCTGGGACCGCCCTGCGAACAGCGATGCCAGCGGGGGGCTGGGGTCGTACTTCTATCTGCCGAAGGGTGTGGCGTCGTATTTCCGTGCGTGGCTGCTGCTAACGATGGGCGTGGGGTGACGTGAGATGTACTCTAGACCACCCGCCGGGGCTGTCGACCACCGCGTCGGTGAGGGGCAGCGCGTCGGCGCCGGGGACGCCGGCGGAGATGGGCGGTGTGGGCCAACTGAGCGCGCCGCGGACGCCGTACCCGCTGAACACCGACGGAAGCGTGGCGAGCGATATCAGCACGCGCGCGATCGCGAGTGAGTCCGCGAAGGCGTCGACATGTGGGCCGATGACGCCGGTGCCGGTGCCGGTCGCGGAGGAGATCGTGTCTCCGCCTGCCAGCGACAGTGGAGCTACGCAAAATACGCTTGCTACGGAGGACCGCCCCGTCGAGCAGTCGCATCCTCAACAGCCTGCTGAGCCACAGCCGGCACCTCTCCCGGCCGCGCCTGCCCCGCTTCCTGCGGAACCCATCCCCGCGGTCGCCCCGCTCGCCGGCCTCGCCGCATTCGCCCACAAACCTGCCCCCGTCGACGCCAGCGCCAACGCCAACACAGCTCCTCCCTTGAACGCCCACCCCTCCCCGCCTTCCAGCCCCGCCTCCAATAATACCAGCCCACACGGCAGCCCCTCCACCGCCCCCTCCTCCGAGTCGCCCGCCTCCCCCCTGGCGCGCTGGGCCGCCGTCGACGATAAAACCTCCCCGTCGCACGCGACCCCCGGGCTCCTCGGGCGCTTCGCCTCCGTGCGCCGCGGCCATCGCAAAACCGCCTCCGAGTCGGCCCCTCCATCGGCCTTCGGCGCGCTCTCCCGCACGCCGCGCATGCCGTCGCGCGACATCACCGGTGACGGGAAGGAGGCGGCGGAGAAGCCGCGCCGCACGCGCTCGCTCATGCGCGCGCTCCGCGGCGAGGCGACGGTCCTCGCCGGCCGCGTCACGCGCGACGCGGGCAGGGTCGCGGCGGGGCGGCGCATGGTGCGCGAGGCGTAGACAGCTATCCGCAAATGCATATATGGACTTTCGGAGCGGACTTCAATTGTTGTATGTACGTGTACGTTACGCTGGCTGTTGCGTTCAAGTTCTCGGTGTACGAAAACGTTGTTTGTCGATTCCTGTCTTTTCCTTGTGCCAACTTGGAAACTGTACCTTAGTCATAAATAACAATAGTCAACGGCACAGGACTCTGAGGCCCGTTGAAAGCACATTGAAGCTGGACGCAAAGGATGGGCCTACGCACCAAAAGGACTTCCATGCAACAGAATCAACAGGTACTTAATATAGTCCCATATACTTCAGGAAAAAAAACCTTACCACTATCCAATTAAATTGAATTAATTGCTACAGTATAGTGTCAGTTTTATAGGGGTATTTATCAATTAAGTTAGGCAAGCGATCTGGCATGTCTGGTCTCTCAGAAGTCTGTTTAGGCAATAGCATTCTAACTACAGTAGGTTTAAGGCTGTTCATAGGTAGCTAAAGTTATGACAATATATTTCAATATATTCAGGTGAATCATGTCATATCCTATTCAATATCAGCACCTAGGTATAAATATAGTGAACTATAAGTATACTATCTTTCTCAATAGGTGAATATAATCTGACCGTACTATAATATTTGCAATGCATGTTATGTTTTTATTTGACAAATAGACAAGTATTACTGATTATATTCTATCATCTATGGTGGATATACAATCATATAAGATTTGTTCTTCCTATAGTATAGACAAAGGACAGAGAAGACTGGCACCCTTCAAGTCGAGTAGTCAGAGGCAGTATAACGAGCCAGGGAGAATAGGAAAAAAAAAAGGAAAGCAAACAGAGCCAAGTTTAGTAATTTTGGCCCAAATAGGAATAATTGATATTATCAAAACAAAAAAAAATGAACATATAAAATCAAAGATATTATCTTAGATTATTGTTTCCTGTTATACTTCTTGTCTCTCTGCAAATACCAGTGTTTCTGAGTCTGCCATAGATTTGTTTGGCTGCATTATAGATGTTGAGTAGGGGAGGTCGGATAAAGCCATGTCAACAACACTCTTCTCAATAGATGCCTTGCGGAGGCTGATCAGCATACGGGATGTCATTATCCCAACTGCAGCATGGAATGGCCTGATATTATCATGTAAGAACACAAGTACACAAAGGTAGGGTTACTCACCCATAACTGAACCATGGAATGTGGGTGACACTCTTTGATCAGTTAGAATATGGAGAGGACCTCCTTTATATTACATACCACAACCATAAGCTGAAAAATATTAGTTCTGGAATGCAACAAAAGAATTAACATATACATTGTTAAAGATTAAAATGGCTGCAATACTATCCCAAAATTCTGAGTTGCAACAAAATTATAAAGGATAAGTACACATACCCCCAAAAGTACAGGATATTATCCCTCAGTAGCAGAGTATACAGTGATACTCTGCCATGTTGCTTCCAGGAAAGCACACTGGACTCAGCAGTTTTTGCCAGTGCAAACAGAAACAATATCCCTTCAAAAGCAGTAGCTAAATCTGTGTCATTTTATATTAAATTTACTGATGGATGCACATACCAGGGACCCATTGTGCCCACTCAATTCCAGAGTGCACAGAGGGACAGCCAGGCAGGTCAAGATGGATGACACTAGCAATCACAGCTGCTCTTCTGGAGTGGTTGAAAATTAGGATCCACATGAACCCTGCAATAGACCCAGCAAAGAGCAGCAGGTTGATTGCTGCAACACGTTTGGAGCAGTGGTATAGGGCATACACCCTCAATTGCATGATGATCTCCACACTCCAGAGTGACACAGCACCAACAACACGGATGATGGTGTCCATTGCAACACAGAGGTTTGGGGAGGGAACTCCAGGTCTTGCAAAGACATGGATTTGGACAACATCAAAAAGAAGGAGGGTTATGCTATAAAAAATCAGCTGTGTTTTATTCTGGATTAACTGCAGATAAGTCAAAACATGCCTGTAATAGCGAATCTGTATACCAGATTAATAGGTGTAACTTAGGTCAAGTTCAAAAGTTACCCAAAGAAACATGAATTTGCCAAAATTGAATGGCTGGGGCTGGATAATAAATAATATAAGGTGATCAACAGTTTCAAATTATTTATATAGGCAACTGACCCAAATATATTTCATCTAGCATTCCAGTTTGCTCTTTTGAATAATTTTGAAATCATGAAGCATGCTTACCTCATCTTGCAATGTAATCACTAGTTTATTAGAAAGGCCACTGAAATAGAAGCACTGAAAAAATATATCACCCACAGTAATCATGTAGGATCCAAGTTAGTCCAACTACTGGTGAAATATAAACAGTCTGATATATCATTCAGGGACAATACTTACAGGCAACATGTAGTGGAATCAAGTTCCCTATTACTAATGCAATTTCCTGGGGTGATGCTGAATTCAGAGGCATGTCTGGCATGGTTGAAAAGCTGTTGATCAAAAAAATATTGTGAAGGGCCCGGGGAGGGTCATGAGAAGGCGGGAGTGTTTTGTTATATACTGCTTGAATATGGCTGTGTTCGGTAGAAGGCCTCTTCAAATCACCTAGGACCGGTGACTAAAGTATCATGATACATCTTGTTTTCCGAAATAGTGGAAAGGTGGAGTGGAAACCAAGTTATTTACATTCTAGTACTTGTTCCGTTGATTCTGGAGTCCTAGTGGCCCGGTGGAAACCAATGAAATTTCACAAAAAAACATGTAAGATTGGCTGATGTGCCTTCGCGTTTTTTTTCTTTCTGTGTAGGCAGCGGAAGAAAGTTTTTGCGGATTTCCGCAAATCAATCAAATCACCGAGTAGATGATCAGTGGCGTTACCCGTGATGTGCTTTTTGCTTCGTGACAGCCATCTCGTCTTTTTTTCCCCCGTCCACTCCCACTCTTCAGCTGTGTGTGTGACCTGACAGCTGGCACTTGCCGGAGCCTCAGAGGTGTGTAATAGCATTCAGAACACTACATCCACTCATCCCATCCGCTGAGACCGAGAGCGTTCAACGGTGGCTCGGTTTTCACGATCTTGTAATCCTCCCTTACTCCCACCATCCTCCCGTCAAACAAATCCCTATTGGCGATATCGTCCTCCCAGAACATCTCCCGACCCAGCCCTGCATGCGTCCCACGCGAACCACGCAAGAAAACATCGAAGCCGGGAAGGCTTGGTAGCGGCGAATCGAACGGGGAATGTAACGAGAGTTCTGGGAGTGGGGCTGTGATGATTTGTGGGGTATCTCCGGCCGTGTCTGAACCGCTGGATGCTTCCTGTAGGCTTCCGCGTCTGCTTCGCGTCGACGTCGAGATCCTGTACTGCTCGTCGACGGCCACGGGGATGTACGTGCACGGCAAGCCGCGCTCGACGCAGCGCTCGCAAGGCATGTCAGATTCGTCGTCCGCATGGCACTATTGACAGTGTGGTCAGCAGGCTTCGCAACGGGGGTAGAACGGCCGACTCGCCTTGACGCGCCGTTTGCGGCAATTGACACACGCGATAAAGGCTCGCGGTCGACGCCGCGGGGTCGCTAATCGTTGGCGTGTTGGGCTACCGTTCGACATATCAACGAAGTGAGTTATCTATCCCTTGGAATCTACCCGCCTTCTTATACTCGGATCCTGGTGGCTGGGCGATTTTTAGAACCTGGAGAAATGAGTTGACAGGCGGAAGGTTTCCCACGCGCGCGACTTCTCCTCGTCTTGCAACACTGCAGAATCACCGTCCGCCAATTCTCGCCTTTGGAGTCGTCGCCACTGCCTTGCGCCGCTGGAAGCTGTGGTGATAACATCTCTGTTCGCTCATAGCAGGGATGGGGCTGCTCCCATGGCAGCACTTGGACCCAGCGCCCGCGCACGCATGAGTTTACTCCTCTGCCGTGCTCCATCAGGCACCCTACAGCAATACTGAATACAGGATGACGGGCGCTGCGGCACAACGATGAATGCACTTATCTGTGGGAGAAAGGCGGGAGAAGCACGACCTATCTTTGGATGCGGGATTATCGATTTAATAACCCGGTCATTCGTGACTCCTTCCGATCGGGCGCATAAACCGATGGGCGTTCGGGCGTTCCTGAGTCAAGCTACATGTAATTTGGGGCAAGACGAGACGGACAGTGGCGCATCCAGTCTAATGCCCCAATCCGACCACTGCGAAGTCCTTCGCACGCTACAAGCATCAATGTGGATGAAATCGCTCTGGTCTCACCTTCCCGAGCCTCGGAAGCACCTCTCTGATGAAGTGCGTGATGGCTCCGAACGGTCCTCGGTTCTTTCCGCCTCGTTGCTGTCCTAGGAACAACGCACAAAGTGCGGATGCGATCCGATCTGTCCTTCCAGACTGGACGAACAGACTTCGTGCTGATGCAGTTCAGAAGAGCGACGCTCGATTTTGTCTGAAACCATCAAATGTATAGGCCCTGCAGCGCACGACTCCCCTGCTTCTTGGGAAGCTGCAGAGCTTCACCCGGTTCATCCATGTGCCGCGGCGAGTCGGCGACGAGACAACTGTCCGGCTGAACGTTTGTGGCCAATGCGATTACCATTCCTGGCGTGCGATTACGGTAGCGCGGGCCGCGCAGCAGGATTCTCTGCCAAGGTTCGACAGTCCGCATCGAAGCGCTGACAGAACCCATACCAGGCTACTCCCTCGATCGACGCCCACATAGCCGCCCGCTGGAATGCAATTTCTATGCTACCTCGATAATGATTCGGCTACACAGCAGTGTGCCGTGACGTCTAACGCGGGCCAAGAATGAAAATCCCAACTGTTGTTGCAGAACTTATCGTTATCGACGGGATCGCAGTTTGTTGTGATGGGCCCAAGACAGATACTGGATCCCAGGTTTGCGTGAGAATGGTAGCGGTTAGCAGTTATTGTAGATATCCTCAAGTTAATTCCGTTCCGTCAAATACATCCACCTTCTTCACCATTACTATTACTGAGTCCTAGGACTGGACCTTGATTGGATTCACTAATTTCTGTTGTTGTGAACCTACATTCCCCCCCTCTTATAGAATGTGGTACATAGGATAGCCAGGTGTCTCTTATAGCTACATTGCAGAATATTAATCAATATGTTACTTGCCTCAGTAATTGAACAAAGAGAGCCTATGCTATGGGTTCTATCTGATCTTGTGTTTTGAACTGAAATTGAACTGGCTATGTTTCGCATGAGAGTAGATGGCTTTGTAGCACTTAGAACACTTTGCATAGCAAATGCACTGCAGGACAAAAAGAAAGAACTTCCAAGTCAGAATTAGGGCCAGGTTCTTATTGGGGTGTTTTGAAACCGGTTTTAAAACATCCCTGTTTTATTTGTTTATCAACACCTACTCCCAGGATGCCCTGTTTTTAATGTTTGTATTAGTCGGCACCAAAAGGGAGATGGGACCCAAGAACAATACTTTTGACAATGTTTATGGCCAAATCAGAACCAATTGTCCTGATTTTGTTTGAATGTTAAAAACTTCACTATGTAGGACAAGCAGAGGGTAATACAATCAAATAACCATCAGAACTATCAAACTTTGACACTCCATGAAAATAACCTTTGGATAGTATTTTATAGGCCAATGTAAGGCCCTAGAGTTGCTAAAGCAGATATTTTGGGCAAAAACCTAACTTAAAATAGCAAATTTGGTTCATTTCGGCGATCTTGGCCAAGCTGTTTATAAACTTAAAAAAACAGTTTAAAAATAGGGGTCTGAGGAGGTTTTTCATAAAACAGGTTTGATAACCTAGAAATGTTAAAAAAACCAGGCCCTAGTCAGAATTTGCCAGGAGTCATGGGAAAGATCATAACTATCCCTATATACAACATGGATACTGTCACAAGCAAGGGGGAGGGGGGAAAAAATTAAGGAACATATGCACTAAAAAAAATTTAAGGGCTCACAGCCGGACCGACCGACCGTCACGTGACATGCATGACAATTTCCTATTTAGGCAGGTATTTCACAGGATCATGTGATGAACTTATCTGGAAAGAATGTTCACAAACTGTTGTACTATGTCTAGCCACTCATTATGGCGGCTATAAGGACAGAATAGCTATAGGATTGGACTTGTGTCCACAGTTGAGAACCCAGGTATGTGAATCTGAGATGCACCAGGTCACAACTGTGACAATATTCACCAAATACAGAAGTTCATTGATGAGATTCAGAGAATTGTATGTATAGCCTGACATGACACTAAGAACCTATGGAAACATCTCCTTACACTTATTGATTGATGCCTAATATCTGAAAATTTTTTTCCTATAAAAAAAAATCAAGGACCCCTGGGGGGACCGACCGACCGGCGTCATGTGCATTGATGCCATCACACTTCCCCCTTGGTCACAAGGGCCTCTGGTGCCTGCATCTGGGCCTGGGCCTGAGCCTGAGACCTTACTTTAGTTTATGTGTACTGAGCCATCTCATTCAATTCTGCCAAGGGGGGTGTCTACAAGATATATATATAGCCAGCATTCTTAGTTCTATTGAAATTGTTGGAAATTCAGAGGACTAAGTGATTCTGATGCTATCAGATCATCTGACTGTGTGAAATATATTCCCAATATGGCAATGTCACGTCACGGTCACCATCTTTTGCCCCTAATACTACCCATACCATCTCATTCTGCCCTCCAAGTCCTGGGTATGGACTCCCCCTTGCATTTTATTTTAGTTGTTGGATACTCAGAGCTGTGTGGCTTACCATTTTTGGTTTATCTCATGCTCCAGCACATCAACGATGATGGTCCCTAACCTCTGTTCAATGAATAGAAATCTAATCACATGGCTGCTGATTACACAGAGCATGCCTCATCTAAGGCTGAACGAAGTGCTGGTATTTTTATTGATGACTCTTCTAAGGTTGATAAGATGAGGAAGACTTTAAGAGATTTTGACTTGAAAGCAGAGAATGGAAACCTCTAAAAGCAGTTCTGGGATAACATGATATAGCGGGTGATACATGGTTGATTATTTTAATCATCATTGATTAGACTTAGCTCAGAGAGCCCCAAAATTTGACTGTAAATTCAACATAAGGCAGTTTATAGTCACAGCCAGGGTTTTACAGGGAAATGGTGAGCCAGAGCTGAATTTTATTGTAAGATGTCAAGTGCCAAAAATGGTTGATATGCTCAGCAATCGGCATCCTAGATTTTTCTGGAATCCAGGCTATTGCTTTGGACCTTTATTATATCCCTATAGATTATTCTATCATATTCTGTAGTAGTATATACTGTACTATTTAGACCTTAAGTAACTGTCCACAATTATATTATGCCAGATTATATTTTGAGTATAATCAATTAAATATGATTATAATATGCCTTCTCTATAATCATTCAAGAAAATATGATTATTATTAAATATGATTCTAATTACATTATGCCAAGGTCATATTTATATCATATTTTTGATGGTATCTGGCCCATCAACTCCTCACAAATCAACCATTTTCAGTATTTTTCACCTATTAAAGAAATTCAAGATGTGAGAATAAAAACTGTTGATATTCTCCAGTCAGTTAGAAGCAGTGAGAAGTAAATTTGGTCAAGTTGGCAGGATTTAATCAGATCATGTGATTAATATAGTTCAATGACACATCATCTTATATGAACCTTTTATGAATACCAGCCATTGTAAAATATCATGGATAGGTAAAAAGTCTAATCTCAGCTAATTGACATGCATTTCTAGTGTTACAAGTGGGCCTAAAATAATCAATTATATTCTGAGTATAATCAAATATATACTCAATGATTATGAGTATGATATGATTATGGACAAAGACCATGATTATGATATGGATATGAGTATATTATGAAGATTTCATAATTATATCCATAATTGGACAGCACTACGTTCAGCCCTCTTACACATTACACCCTGAACTTACATGGTGAGAAGTTCAGAGGGTTATCTTACACATTACACATTTGCTGAGGTTCAGTTTAGTCCGGGCCCAATTTGGTAAAGGTTGTACAGGGGGACTGAGCATTTAATGGAGGTAGACTCAAGAAGGCATCACAATATCAAGGGCCGAGCCCAGGCCTGTTTTTATTTTTAAGCCTTGGCCAGGCAACCAGCCAACCACGTGACCATTAGATAAGATAAGATATACTATAATACACTGGTGAACTGGAGGCATGAGAGATGGAACTTCGAGCTTTGGTAAAGTATCTCAGGCTCTGTATGTCTTTGTACAGGGCTTTGTATAGTATATGTATTGAGTATGGTTATTCTTGTCATATATCAAAGTTCCAAGATTGATTTTATATTGTTATTCTTAAATCTCTCATAATAACACCAAATCTTTGATGAATTATTGGAAACTTTGCAAAATTTTGAAGAGTTATAGGAAATTATATGTGAGTAAAATAATTATATGAACTTTTTAGTAAAGTTAGTGTGGGGGGTTTTTCCTGATGGAAGCTGTGTCAGCTCTGGCACATGCACTTCCCCTTTGGGCTGCAACAGTGCAACAGCTCGCAAGGGCCGAGGGGCTCTTTCAAGGCCCATTATTAGCCTATTCAAAGGGTAAGCAAGCATTCTAAGGCTATTATACATCTCTCCAACCCAATATTAGTCTATTAAAACCAAAATAAGTATAATGACATATAAAAAATATTTTTAAGCCCCCCCCAGGCATCACATCATAATGCCTCCTTGGTTAGACTCAACATTTTGAGCACTGGTGTCTTTCATTGCAGATCTAGTAGTTGTAGCAAAACAATGCATAAAATTCCTCTGCAGTACCCAGCAAGCACAACACCAACCATATCTGATGAATCTGACTTGATATACTAAGTACTTACAAATCCAGTGTTTAAAAAATTGATTTCTTGCATGAAAATTTCCTTTTTTTGGAACAAATATGTAAGGAGTTCAGGCTTGCTGTTTGCACATTACACATTTAGGGAAGTTCAGTTCAGATGGTGCTCTTACACATTACCTAAACTTGAGGTCTAAATAGTCTCAAGTAACCAAGAGTGACAATGTACTATGAATGACCAGATGCTACGGAAATACCATGATCTCACTCCATTCATGATTATTAATACATTTAGGTTGGTAATGGAAACGCAGGCTTAGGAAACTACCATCAGACTCGGTGGACGTCGGTCGAGGTACTGTGGTACTCACAAGTTTGGACCCAGCTTTCCCCATTCCGTCGGCATCTGAGTTTGAGTACGGCGGCGGGGCAGCCTGAGCAGGAGCCGTGAAACCATTCCCGAGATACCCACCGCCACGAACTGCGCGCGGGCTGGTCGTACCCAGCGCGATGTCGTTCGGGCCGTAGCGGTTCCAGACTGTGCTTTGTAGGCCATCAGGCGAATCTGACTCGCTATTGTGGCGGCCCCTGCGACGACAGCGGCACGGGCCTAGCCAGCAGCAGAAGATAGCGAGAAGAAGGAGGCCAACTGGTGGACAGTGCCTGTGAGTGAACCCGATGGAAGCCAGGATGACAGGGCGCACCTATAGCGCCGCTAACGATGTACCCGATCTTCGCGAGGTGGGGGTTCTTGGTGTTGTTGTTGTAGTAAACAATACTTCTGATCATATGAGGCATTTGTATCGCTGGTGTGAAATGAACAAGGGGGGAGAAGTTGAGGGAACGGCGTACGGGACATGACGGGAGGAAGAGAAAAGAGGCGGGCAGTGCGTGTAGGTGTTGCGCTGTTGTGTGCGTTACAGCGATTCCTGAATGTAATGACAATGTCACATTTTTTTTCGCGCCCTTCTCAAAAAGGAAACCATGCCTCCATTTGCATTTCTGGCATTGACTGAGCCTCAAACTGTATCCAAAATCATATATACTGGTGAAGAGATGTACATACACCATATAATGGCTAACATAGAAGAATTTCAGTCAGTAGATGTAGTTGGTCGAGAGTAAGAATGTGTTGTTTAAGCAAGAATGTGTCATGCCGATCGGTGCCTAGTGCTCGATGAACCTGTCGCAAAACTGACCTTCAACCCATCCACTATCCTTGAGGACAAGTAATTTGAGTGTCCACCATAGCTATGAGAAGTATTTAGTGCACTGAAATTGTTTGTAGTGCAATTGGAAGCTTGGGAGCCATGATTTCCTTTTTGAGATGGGGCGCAAAAAAAAAAATGTGACATTGTCATTACATTCAGGAATCGCTGTAATAAAAGGTGGGAGTCACAAGCGGTAGGACCCACCTCGGTCATGTCCCAAGCGCGGTATGGCCAGCACTGGAGGTGCTTTGCCCATCGATGGTCGTACAGCATTGGGTCCCAGCGCCGACGCGGAAGAGCATCGACATCGAGTGCAGAGGGAGTTGATGCAGTCGATGTGGGCGCCGAGATGTGGTATAGCAGCGGGGGGCGCCGAGATTCGAAGCCCTACAGCATTTCTGGGCCCATGCCTTCTGTTGCGGTGAGCGGAGCGCCAGACTCATTTGTCAGCGGACAGCAGCGGACTTGGTCAAAGTGTCATTCGGGCTTGATTCCGAATTCGGGCCCCGGCCGGGGCTACGTGGCCATGGATCCGGTGAGAGCAGCGGGTACAGCGCCGTTATGTGTTGTGTTGGCTGTGACTCCGCTCACAGGGCGGAACGCGCTCGAGGACGGCGACGACCAGATCGGGATTCGGGACAAGAAAAAAAGTGGCAGTCACGGTGGCAGTCACAGTGTGCGGCCTTCTTTTCTCCGCATCCCGCATCTCATCTCCCTGCAGCCACTCTTTCAGCACGGATTAGCGAAAGCCGGGCCCATCCTTACGCGCTTATTCCCCCTCAATGTGCAGACGGGCCCACGCGAACGCGCGTTTTAACGTCTTATTCGCCTCCCATGGCGCCATGTGCTGATAACGCCTAAATTCGGCTTGCTCCCTCCCACCATGCCATTCGACGATATCGTGCTCAACGACGGACGGAAGGTGCGTTTCTCCTCCTTATATACTCGCCTTACCCGCCGCTTAATGCCATTGTACAGATACCCAGCATTGCTTTCGGTGAGACACAACATTGGCGGAGAGAGCTGAGCACTGAGTTGGCTGGCAGGAACGGGCAGCGTCTACAAGCGCATGGACGTAACGACATATGTGAAACAGGCGCTCGACGCAGGTGCGGAACCAACTTCTCTTTTCTTCTACACCGTTCTGACCGATGCGCTGGCAGGCTTTTCCCATATCGACACCGCCCAAGGTGCCCCCATTCTTATCTTCTCCTTCCCCATTTCATACGACCACCCTCAGGATACGAAACCGAAGGTCCTTCCCTCCCAATACCAACAACCAACGCTGACACGCCTACCCATAGGCTTTGTTGGCGCCGCAATCCGCGACACCGGCCTCGCGCGCTCCGAGTTCTACGTGACGACGAAATATTCACGCAGCGCATTCTCTGTGGACCAGTCAATCAACAATAGTCTGTCCCAGGTGCGCTTCCCCTCACTTTCCTCATTGCATTCAAGTTCTAACCAAACTGCAGCTGGGCCTCAAATTCGTTGACCTATACCTTATCCACCAGCCCTCTCTGTCGGCGGACATTACTGCCACGTGGAAGGAGCTGGAGGCAGTGCAGAAAGCCGGGCTCGCAAAGTGCGTCCACCATCCTCTCCTTTCGCGCATCGAGTACTGACACATACCCACAGGTCCATCGGGGTCTCCAACTTCCCGCTCAACCACCTCAAACAGCTTTGCTCGGACCCCAGCGTCACCATTCTTCCCGCAGTCAACCAAATCCAGCTCCATCCATACAACTACCACCGCCAGCGCGAGCTCATCGAGTGGGCCCAGGCACAGGGGATCGTTATCGAGGCGTATGGCGGGTTGAAGTAAGTTGCTGTTTCGTATTCTTTGCAGGCAAGAACTGGATTTTGGCCTGCAGCTCGCTGACTCAGTCACCTGGCGGACCCGTCGACACGCCTGTCGCCGCTGCCGCCGCCCGTCTGTGCATCTCGCCAACGCAGGTGTTGTTGGGGTGGTTGCGGGCAAAGGGGGTGGTGATCGTGACGTGAGTGGACTGGTTTTTTTTCATCGTTGGTGTGAGACTGAATGGGTCATGGTAGGACGACGTCTCATGAGGGAAGATTGGCGGAATACCTCGCTGCGGGTGATTTGCGTGCGTGTTTCGCCTCTTCAAGAGAATCGATCGTTGACCACATTTCATAGGCCCGCTCCCGCCCGCGGACGTGGCCGCCATCGACGCTGCCGGCGCGCAAGGCTACCGCATTCCACGCATCTTGCGCTCCACAATATCGTTGAATGGCCCGCATTCCAAGCAGGCCGCGTACGCGTTTACGCTCATCAGCATCGTGCTGGTGGCGACTGGATTGGGCGTCTTGATGTACCTGCGGCTTTCGGGCATGCGCTTTCCGTGGGATGAGCGGGAGGCAGGAGATGTGTTCTCGTTTGGGATGGCGACATTGGCGAGAGAGGAAGATTTTGGGGTGGGCTGCAACTGACTAGTACTGCTAAGAGCTTAGAGACTGAGGTGGAATTTGCCTTGAATTTGGACTCTACTTATGAGTCCAATCGAGATCGGTTTAAAGAAGCAGCCTAGCGCATTATTACTCAGGAGCAAAATACTTGTATTTGAAACAGTACAAGATTAACAATGGCACCAACGGGTTACTGTTATATTAAGCAGGCAATTCATTTGCTCTACATTTCCATTTTTGGGGTCACTGCTGTTAAAGCCCCAAATTGGTAACAAAAGCTCCAAAATGTCCCAATCCTAATTGGGATACAAAGCTGTCCATGATGATATCTTGCACCCAGTACTATAAAAACATTATATCACATGCTAACACCTAAGTGTGTGTGTACTAATTCTTAATTTGCCTACAAATCAATAAATAAGTATATAAAGTTTGCTGACTTGGGTTGCAATGTATGTAAATGATAGTAGACCAAATATTTAAGAGGGTTATAAGAAATGCATCTGTCTGTTATTCTGTATTATGTAACAAGTAGAATTTTTTTTTATTCAAATAACAAACTAACCCCCAGCCCTGTCTAGTTTTTTTAATCATTTAATGGCAGGCTGGCAATGGTCAAGTTAATGCCTTCGACGACGTCTAGCAGCGCCTAACCCTCCTCCATCACCACAATTTGAGTCTGAGTGTGCCCCTGAGCGACGGCCCTGAATGCCTCGGTTATCTTTAGGTGCAGAGGTCTCTACGATAGTATTGACCTTAATAATGGGTTTCAAATACTGACCCTTATTATGACCTTTATCAACAACACTGGCACTGCCACAGGACCTTATTATGTTAGGATTATTATTATAACATCTGTTAACCCGATTATGTATTTCAACAGAGCTGGTCTGGACCAGGATGCAGGAAGGCTACACAACGACAGAATCATAGATCGTGGCAGCTTAGACCACTCTCAAAACACACCCTTCCATCCGGGAAAAAAGACAAGTCAGTTGCTGTTTCCAAGCATAAAAATATTTAATAAATTATTGCTTTATTACAGTTTGCGCTATGGTGTAGATGTGTTGTCAAATTACAGCTTCCTTGCATATATCAGGAAACACGGATTTATGATCCCGCTCCCCATTCGGACTCACATCATTGCACAAACTTCTCGCTATACAGCACTGAATGACTGCGTCGAGCAAAGGCCGCGGCCCTGCGATGGCCCTGAATGCTGCGGTACTGGCGCACGACGTAGGCGGCACAGAAGGCGGTGTATAGTATGCCGAGGGAGTATGCCTCCAGCTGGACGGCGGCGCTGCGTGTCCTGAGAGTGACTTCGGGGAAAGCGTTCGATAATATAAGCCACAGGAGGAATAGGATGCCGGCGCCACGCACGAGCGCGTATTGGAGTGCGTTGAACACGGTCAGACGGTGCTTAAGCGTGTGTAGCTGCGTGGGGAGTGTGGCCGTGCCCGTGGTGGGCGACGGCGCATCCGCGTCGAGGCTCTCGATGTAGGCGGAGAGCATCCACAGAAAATCGCCGGGGATCTCGGAGACGAGTGTTGCGAATACGGCGATGACGGGGAGAACCGGCCATTGGAGATAGAGAAAGGAGAGGAGGGAGAGAAGCGCGCCGGCGTGGTGCACGACGTAGAGGGTGTACATGTCGAGGCGGTTAAGCTCGGAGATCCAGAGGACAGCGCGCGCGGTCACGCATGTCTGGACGTCCTCGTCAAGCGACCAAGGGGCGGGAGGGGAGGCGCCCAGGGCGCTCCAGGCGTTCCACGCCCCCCGCGCACATGACGGCGTCGAGAGTAGGCTGATCAGCAGCCCCATGGATATTCCAAAGAAGCACGCATCCTTGCGTGTTTGGTGTAGGAAGTTCGAGAAGCGTGGGTCCCATCGGCGCAGCGCATATCGCAGAACCCGCTCGACGAAATAGTAGACAGTAGAAAGCAGAATGAGTGTGTTGGCGTTGATTTGTTGGGCGTCCATCGGAGCCACAGAATTAGAATCGTAGTTGCAGATGGGTTGTGTCGCCTCAGCTGGCTCGGGTGTGGATTTATACTGACTCCTGGAGCACAGCTGATAGTGCGCCAGGCGATCCGAAGATCAGCGGGACAGCTACGGGCCCGTCAATGTCCAACTGAGTCGACGCCGTCCGTCTTCCGAGTTGAGATGAGTCGTAAGTTGACGGTTTTGTTCGGCCTGGTCTACCAATAGCAACGCAAGAGCGCTCGCCCCCCTAGGCCGCCTAGAAACGGAGAGCTGTACCCGTGTCGATTCCGGGGATTCATCATAGTGGATCCAGGGCCGCCCTGACTCGGACGCGGTATCAGCATCGCAGAATAGGTCCAGTACCAGTCGGCATGCGCGTGAGACCCTGCAGGGGCAGGAGCTCGGAGACCAGATGAGCTGGACGGGAACAGTCTCCCTCGACAGTCGTCGTCACCAAACAACAGCCAATCTACAGCAAAACACCGCCCTTCTGCCAGCAGTACTGGTATCATAGATGCTCTCCGACACGTAGGTGGACATGCCGCCCTCGATCGCGCAGTCACCTACTTACGCCGTCAGTCAAACAGGCAGGTATGTTTCACTACCCACGTACGTGGCCCAGTCAATCGCTGTGCACGTCCCGGACATACAGCGGAGATAGCACCTGCTCGGCATGGCGGTGCCTCAAAGCGCGGAAGGGAGTGCCAGCCACTGACCGTTGTGTTGGGAGTCCCTGCGACGTCGGGATGGTGATGGTTCGCGTCAAGGGGGGGCGGTGTGCCTCGTGACCTGCATCAATTCGTCAACACCGCATAAGTACTCGGCCGATAGGTCGTCGGCCGAGAACATGAAGAGGGTCTGGACCGCGCACAGTTGATCCCATCAAACTTCGGTCGGAGCTTCCGCTCATCCGACCACGACGACAACAACACAATTTTCTCCCCCATAACCGCCTGCCAGCTGACAATCGGCGAGCCAGCCAGGCCCACAGCTTGACTTCGAAGCAAGAAGACCGTCGCCACTCGGTACATAGGTCGCTCCAGTCTGCGAATCGCGCGCTGCCCCAGCTACGAGTAGCTAAGCCTGCTTACGCCCCGCCCATCCACCTTTCCTCCCTCCCGTCTTTCCTTCCACCGAGCTTCCTACTCGGCTCCAGCGGCGTCTCGGAACGGCACCACCATTTGCCATGACCATGACGTGTGCGCTGAAGATTTACCGTCACCCGTCGTGCTGGTTGATCACCGTGGACGTCCGCGAGCCAAGCGAAGACTCGAAGAAGCACACAGTCTTGGAGCTCTTCCCTGCCTCTTCCTTCTCTTCTTCCCTTCCCGGCGGCTCCCGTCCGACGGCCGCACCAGGTTTTCCGTCTATCCGCTTTCGCTATCAGCACCCGCCTTCGCCTTCGTTTCCTTGTCCAGGCGACACTGGCGCATGGCGAGTCGACGGCCGCATGTCCAGCAGCTCCCCACCTTGTGCAGCATCGATGGAACTCATGGGCTGTCTTTACTCCTTCGACGCACAAAGCAGCAAAATGCTTACCCCAGCAGCCGCCGATCGATCCGGGCTCCACTTGGGCGACCCAAATATGTAACACCGGCACGGCACTCGTTGACGCCGCATTAGGTCAGCGAGACCGTACCTCGGGCACGTTCTGGGCGTCGCTGGTCCACCAAGCAGGACGCTGGGAGGGTGGAAACTGGGGGAACTTAGAAGGCGCCACACGTCGTCCAATGGCGATACTGCGAATCCGCGCTCACCGTGACCTTCGTCGAGGTTAGCGATATTGGCGCGCCGCCATTGGCTCCAGGATCGCCGGATCACATAGCCGACAGCAATTAACGACGTCACCGGCGCAAACTTCATCGACGCGGCGGCACGGTCGAGCGATGCGTGTTTGCGTGTTCCCGAGCGGTGGTGCCAGTGCGGGCGCGACAGCTGGCTTGGAAGCAAGCAGCCCGGCGACGGCTACCTATTACGGGCAAGCTCGTGGCGGCGGCAAGTGTCAGCGAATGTGGAAGGGAAGCAACTTAGTGGTGTTATAAGGGCTCGATTGCGCCACTCTCCCTTGACTTTCCCCCCACTCCCCCCTTCCTCTTCCCACCACACAACTCTGACATCCCTTGACGATGTCCACCGAAATATCTGAAAAGCCTTTCACCATCGCTGTCCCTGACGCTGCCTTGGAGCGACTGCGCCTGAAACTCTCCTCGACGATATTCCCCGACGAGCTGGATGGCGCGCAATGGGCATATGGGGTGCCGATGGCTGACTTGAAGCGCCTTGCCGAACGATGGGCGGACGGCTACGACTGGCGCAAGCACGAGACGGCGCTCAACGCCGAGCTGCCGCAGTTCACTAGAGACATCGAGGTCGACGGACATGGCGCACTGAACATCCATTACGTGCACAAGAGGAGCGAGGTCCAGGGTGCAATACCGCTGCTATTCATCCATGGCTGTGGGTCCCATTCTTCGTTTCCTATTCGCTCCTCACGCTGGTGTAGGGCCTGGTAGTTTCCTCGAAGCCCGCAAGATCGTCCCAATTCTTACCCAATCTTCGCCCGGCCACCCTAGCTTCCACTTCGTCGGCTTGGGTTTGCCTGGATATGGCTTTTTCCGAGGGACCTACGAAGACCAAGTTTGGGCTGGACCAATATGCCGAGGTGCGTTGCTTTCTCATGGTTCTTTATCACTCATTCTGACTTGTATCATAGTTAGGCAACAAGCTAATGCTTGCGCTGGGGTACGACGAGTATGGTGAGTTGTCCCTCCAAGGCAATTGGATGAAGATTAATCTCCGGCAGTCACGCAAGGCGGGGATTTTGGCTTTGCGGTGCGTTCTTAGTGCGCTGACCAGGGATAATTAACTCACACCTTTGTCTAGATCACTCGCCGAATCGCGACGCTCTATGGCCACAAACACAGCAAGGCGTGGCACACAAACTTCCCCTGGTTTGTCGTCTGTGATTGCGGGTCCCATCTAATCTCTTGTCAGCGGCGACCCTCCCCACCCGCTCCGTCAACCGATCGAGTTCCTGAAGCTCATATTTCTCACGCAGAAAGACAAAGAGAATCTCGCGCGCAGCATGGCGTTCTTCGACTCAGGCTCGGGTTACATGGCGCAGCACACGACGCGCCCCCAAACACTGGCGTACTCCCTTGCCGACTCGCCGGTGGGGCTGTTGGCGTGGATATACGAGAAGCTGGTCGAGTGGACGGATGCGTATGAGTGGGATGACGATGAAGGTGCGTGTCGCTTTCTTTCGCTGTCCGACGCGGTCTCACGCCGGCTCTTCTTCTCTTCTAGTGCTCACGTGGGTGTCCATCTACTGGTTCTCGCGCGCGGGCCCCGCGGCGTCGACACGCATATACTACGAGACGGCGGGCGGCAGCTTCGAGGGCTTCAAGCGGCTCTTTGGCATCACCGAGCGCCCCACGATCCCATTCGGCACGTCGCACTTCCCGAAAGAGCTGATCGTGTTCCCGTTAAGGTGCGTGCTCACGCTCTCCGCTCAGGCCCGCAGCTGATGGCGGTCTAGTTGGGCGAAGTTCACAGGGAACCTCGTTTTCCAGCAGGCGCACGAGCGCGGCGGCCACTTCGCGGCGTGGGAGCGCCCCGAGGAACTGGTCGCGGACATGAGGCAGATGTTCGGGAAGGGCGGCAGCGCGTTTGGCGTCGTAAACGGGAAGGATGGGTATTGAAAACCGCGCAGGATATATATAGAATCTGTTGTATTGTTATACTTGGGAATTTTTGGTGTCTGCATAAAATGGAAACGTCTTATATTTTCGCCGTAACTGTACTATATTCGGCTATGTGCCGCTCGACGTCGATGCCGGGGCCATCTGCCCTATTCATTCGCCAAAGCCCGTGTCCTCCGTGCAATAGGTCCGGCCAAGGTCCGGCACCCTCGCTGGCCTAGACCTCGGCCATAGCCATCAATGATCGGGGACCGTCATTGGCTGTCCCGTGTCATCGCAGTCGGGCCGCGACGTCGTTAGGACGGATACAATGCAAAAAACGCTCAAGTGACAGCTGTCGTATGGGTGGCTGATCGCTCGCGCTCGGGCTGATCACGAGCTCGCTGGATTCCCGCAGTAAATCACTGGAACCACGTCGGGTGTTAATTGTTGTTCGTCGTGGATCGGCGTCAAAGAGCAAGTGCCCGAGGCCACAGGCACGCGCTGTGCATGTGCTAGCTCGCTGAAGGCGGCCGCTGCCCCATCGACGCATCACTGGAATTTCCCGCTCACGGTGATAATCAAAATTAGCGATTTAAACTCCGAAGTCGACTCGATCTTGACTTTTATTCAATGAGGTTCTTTCCATTCTCTCGAGGCCCTAATAGATCATTATCAACGTCTCGTCGTAAAGGCCGGCAAGTATGGACACCGCTAAAGCGTCTATTTTTGCGCTCGAGGAGTGATAAAGCGGCTCGGCGGTAAACGTTTGCTGAGTCAGCCCCGGTAGGCCTCTCGAGGCGCTCAGGCACGGACACTGACTGGCATGGACACATTCACAGACCTACAGATCGGCGGTGAATCATTGTACAGTGCCAGCAGAAGCCAGCTATCATGCGTATGACTGGAAAGTTGACGCCATTGATGGCCCGGTCAGCGTTCCCACGTCACCCGTATGTGATCCGACCACACACGAGTGTCCACGTGTCGCTCGCTTAGCATTTTTTCTTTCTTCCGAACCGCCATCTCGACGCTCGCTAGCGCCACCAGCGGCGGGCTGTCGACGACTCTATGCTACAGGCACGCCCGAACAATCACGAATGCCCTCGCTGGATGCTCTTTCACCTGCGCTGGGAAGCCGAAGCTCTGCCTGGCCGGCGGCACTCGTGACAGCTGTCCTGCGGTGTGCCATGGAGGCTTGCGATTGCCTCATTTGAGGTTCTCTTGTCTTCCTTTCTCCACTCTGTCTTCGGCGGTTCTCGGTACTCTGGGTAGAGCCAACGCTCGTCGCTGGGGTCGGCGTTCCGGCCTCTTGTGACAAATCCTTTCACGTCATTGGCTTACGACCATTGGTCGCCGTCTCCGTCTCGAGCCTGTCCCTGAGCGCGCAGCTGGGGAATGGCTAGGCCTACCTACGCCTCCGGGGCTCGGGCATGTCTCGGCCGTCATGAGATCGCCAGATGGCCCGTCGACGCGCCCATCCTGTGGAGAACATCGATTGGACGTGTGGAGTTATGACATCGGAGGCTAATGATGCATTCAATCGATTCTGGAACGCGAAGCCGAAGCGGTCGGTGCGGGGCTCTTTTCCCTTTGCGCGAGTATGTGACTGCTCCTTGTCCGCCTATCCGCCTTACACGAATATAGATGGGAGGCAGAGATGGCTAACGCTCCTTCAGTGTCTATAAATGCAGCGAAGACCGGGGAGTGAGACCGTCAGCTGTCTGCCTCACAGGCTACGCTTCTTCTTCCCTCCCCCTCCTCCTACTTTTACGCCCCACTCACGCACTCCCGCCCGCATACGATTCCATCTCGATGGCCGATCTCAAACCCCCCTCCGTCGAGTCCGAGAAGCCGTTCACCATCCACGTCCCGGACGAGGCCATTTCGCGGCTCAAGACCAAGCTCTCCGACACCATCTTCCCCGATGAACTCGAGGGCGTCGAATGGGACTACGGCGTGCCCATGAAAGACCTTCAACGCCTCGTCGAGCGTTGGGCCGATGGCTTCGACTGGCGCAAACAGGAGGCCGTGCTCAATGCCGAGTTCCCGCAGTTCACAAGGGACATTACCGTCGAAGGCCACGGCACGCTCAACATTCACTATATCCACAAGAAGAGCGACGTCAAGGGTGCCATTCCATTGTTGTTTGTCCATGGCTGTGGGTCCACGCCTCTATCTCGTCTTCTTTTGTTGGGATGCTAACTGTCATGCTCCAGGGCCGGGAAGCTTCGTCGAGGCGCGCAAGATCCTACCATTGCTCACGGCCAGCTCACCGGATCACCCGAGTTTCCACTTTGTCGGCTTGAGTATCCCAGGGTACGGCTTCTCGGAGGCGCCGAGAAAGTCCAAGTTCGGACTGGACCAGTATGCCGAGGTCGGAAACAAGCTTATGCTTGCGTTGGGGTACGACGAGTACGGTGAGTGTTCTTATACCTGTCTTCATTGGAGCGCTGATGCTCCGGCCAGTCACGCAGGGAGGCGATTGGGGTTTCGCCATCACGCGTCGGATTGCTTCCCTATATGGCCACAAGCACAGCAAGGCGTGGCACACCAACTTCCCGACCGGAGACCCACCGAGCCCGATCTGGCAGCCCCTCGAGTTCATCAAGCTGTTCCTCATGTCCTCCGAGCAGCGCAACGCCCTGTACAAGAGCCTCGAGTTCATGGACACCGGCATGGGCTACATGGCGCAGCACGCGACGAAGCCGCAGACCCTCGGCTACGCGCTGGCCGACTCCCCGGTTGGCCTGCTCGCCTGGCTGTACGAGAAAATGGTCGGCTGGTCGGATGAGTACCCGTGGACAGACGACGAAGGTCCGTGGCCGTTTCTAATTACGCGAGCTCCAATCACTGACTGGCCTGTAGTTCTTACCTGGGTCTCGATCTACTGGTTCTCTCGCGCCGGCCCCGTCGCATCAACACGGATATATCGAGAGAGCGCCGGGCCGAGCTTCGAGGCCGTGAAGAAGGTCTTCCAAAACATCGAGAAGCCCACCATTCCGTTTGGCGCGTCGCATTTCCAGAAGGAGATCATCGTCTTCCCACTCGGGTAGGCATTCTGCGTGCTCCTTGAGACGAACGCGGACGATTGACAATTATTTAGATGGGTAAAGACATCTGGCAAGTTGGTGTACCAGCGTGCGCATCCACGCGGCGGACACTTCGCCGCATGGGAGAAGCCAGAAGAGCTCGTGAGTGATTTGAGGGAGATGTTTGGCCGGGGCGGCAAGGCGTTCGGGGTGGTAAAGGGGAAAGACGGGTATTGATTATGGTCATGAACACAAAATGAACTTGTACACCGTGACGACGAGATGATGAATACGAAATGCATCCAAATGCCAGATGAGTCCAAGTTCTTGCAACTCAAATAAGTACTCGTTGACTGATCGCTGTGAGGCGGTGGATATTACGATATTGACCTACGTATGACGCTGCCTTCCGAGAATAAGGTTTCCGCCACAAATTTTGACAGCGTAATAAGCTGATCGAGACTTTGATGGCGGATAGGCGGAAAAACGGGCCCGGGCTGTTCTTCGGATGTCCTTGGTATCCGCCGCGCAGAAGATGGGGATTCTGCTTCTTTCACCTCCTTTACCCACACTGATTTTCCATAAAAGCAGATTCGCCGGGCTGGCTTGGCGCCAGCCATTGTTTGACCATGAGCAATGATGACGATTTTTGGCAGTTGAAAATCAAGGATAATTAGCTGAGCTTTCAGTTGCTGGGATCATTGGATTCATTTACTTTTTGATTCAAGGGGGTGTCATTATTCGAAAATCGGATATAGTGTCAAAAGGTTTTTTAAGGGCTTTTTGGGACCCCCTCCCCCCACACGATATCGGGTAATATGTTCCCATGTAAACTGGCGATCAAGTTCATATTTCCAGTTAAATTCACCAAAATACTGTTACTTATGGTTGATATATTGGACTTGAGCCCTCACAATCAATCAGCAATGATCAATTTAATTCCGATTCCAGTCCAATTCCGGTGATCACATCACAGTCTCCATCAGACACATCACCGCCCTGCCCTGGAGATCCCTCAGGGACCTGGCCTGCGACATGGCACAGGCATACTGCTTGGGGCAACAATCACACTTGGCACGTCAAGAGCACAGTATATAGATACAGCCATACCATAACTATACCGGAGCCATAGTGAGAGTCGCTACAGGGTAGTACAATACAGCGCCGGTCTGGGAGACACCATACTGCACCATAAAAGTATGGCCATAACCGTATACAGTACAATACTGAGCCCTAGCCCTATAGTTGATTTTTCAAGACATATAGAGACTTCTCTTCTCTTTATCTTCTCTCATATGACTCTTATGATACAACCTAATTTAATGGTGTTATTAGCATTTTGGAGAGATTACATAAATATGGATTCTATACTTCAGCAAGCATACACTGACCCAGAATAATAATCAGATCACCATGTCACATTTTTTGTCCCACCCATATCTAAGCTCATACTCCACATACAGCCCTGATTCAATGTGCATTTGAAAGCTGATATCGACTAGTCTCTGTGTGCAAAATCTTGAGCAGATCGACTGTGGATTAGCATAGCAGTAGGGGATTTAAGTCGTGATGATGATCCAATTATTTTTCCCACATTTGACACTTCTCACAAAATTGGCACGAAAAAGCATGTAGCATGAATGAAATACAAAATCAAAGTACTCTAGGTGTAATGGGTTGCCCCTCCGTTGTTCTTCAAGAGTTTGCGCACCCTATTGGGCATACTATTGTACAATTTGTCGATGAAGCTCTGATCAATGGCATTCCACTCCTCCTGCAAAGCTGTCCACAATTCCTCTTTATTCTTCGGCAACTGCTTGCGTGCGCGTACCATGCAATCCAAATGGTCCCACAGATTCTCTATAATACTCATATCTGTTGAATTGGGCACCCAGGGGAGTAAATCAAAGCCTTCGAGATCAAACCAGCCACGTGCATGAGCTGGAGGTCGGCCATGATGCTGGGGAAGATGCTGGAGTGGTTTAGGATGGATGATAATAGCGGGTGTGGTGGTTAAGAGTGAGAACATGATGACCTGTCAAATGTGGAAAAATTATACAATTACCTGGTCGTGTTAACTACGTCACTACTCGACAACCCCGCTGTCATTCAACTTAAAGCTTTGCAGAGGGTAAAAGGCTTCCATATACTACTGTCCACTATACTTTGATTTGCCAGAGGCCCAGAGCTACCCCCTTGGTGCCAAAAATAAGGTGACAAAAAATGTGACATGGTGATCTGATTATGAGTCTGGGTCAGGGTAGACAATGGCCTGAGCATAGACATAGAGTGCTTATGTGTGGGTTCAAACCCAGCTATCAGTTTAGCTCTGAGTCTACACAGGATTTTTGTATTTGTAATTAGTAGGCAATGCTTTGCAAACACTTGGCTCATGTGTAGCTCAACAAAAACACAATTCAAGCAAACACTCCCCCAGTGATGTGGCCTAGACTCAATGGGTTCTCCAGCAAATATAATAAACAAAAACATGTTAATAACTGAGATGGACAGAATATTCTTTTGGTTGCTGGGCACATTTCTAGATGATGATTTCTTATTGCTGTTGTTGGTCCATATATATCTGATTGTCTCCATTTCCAGGCATATACAGTGTTTTTTTTTTTTAAAAAAAAAAGATCCCTTGTGATTAGTATATTAACATTTTCAAAAAACATCAGTGATTTACAAGTTTTCCCTGCATTTTAATCAAATCCATTCTTGGCCCCTTGACATCAACATTTTTTCCCATCTTTTTTGGCCTTTCCCCTACTCAGTAATTTCCCCATGCCTAAGGACTTGTCCACATATCAGGTCTGGGCTGACATGGCCTTTCAACTTTTTGAACCTTTTTTTATCTCTCATTTCCTAAATTCTTTTTTTGGAGCGTTTGGAGTAATGAACTTCAGTCTGCAGAAGCATTTCAAAGAACATCTGCTGGGTGCACTGGGAATAGCCAGTAAAATGCCGGGAAGTAAGCTCAGGGGAAATGCCTTTATGCACATTTTAAAACCAGTGTGGGACTCCTACAATGGTGCGGCTTATCCAACACCTTTCTTTAAGGGTTGAATACCCACTAAAACCCTCTTTTCATTTATCCAGTTATCTGGCAAGGAGTTTTTATCCAGCAGAAGTCCACTCCAAGTATTTAAAACTACTTGGTAGTCAGTACCTAATTTATCAAATTTATATTTATTAGTCAATATTCTATCTCGTTGAAGTATTGAATTTATCATTGTAAGCCAGCGATTATGTATTTCGTTAACTTGAAAAAGCTTACTAGGATTTTTTAGACGTCTTTCATTTCGCATATTCTAAATCATATACCATGCAGCTGATACTAAAATGCTGAACAGTCTATCTTTATGAGGCTGAGGAGTACCTTTATTATTATGAAACTTAGTTACATTACACCCTAGCACTAATCCCCATTCAATTCTCGGCCATTGGCTAAATTTCATACTCCAGAGTTGCTCAGTTAGTTTCCAAATATATATTCTTTCTAGTGCTTTGCATTTTAGCATAATATGTTCTACAGTCTCTGGAACATTACACAGTGGGCATTCACCAAAGGATTGGAGGTGAGGAATATTATCCCAGAATAGTCCTACTTTAATAAATGTATTATGTATAGTTTTCCAGAGAAGATCTTTGATTTTACTGCTAAAATGTAATGATCTGATTGAGTTCCATATCGCAGTATCTGTAGGTTCATAATCAAACACTTCCTTTATTGTATCTCTAGTTCTTTCTAGGTTACTAAAAGTTGACTTTCGCACAGAAATTTAGTAAATCGATTTAATAATCCTGGAAAATAATCTTTGTGAACCACTTTGTATTGAAATACCTGGTGTATGAAAGGTAAATTCAGGTTGTGTTTCTAAGATGGTTCATCAGTTAGCAAGCTGGCTTTATTTCCAAGAATTAGCATGCTATAAATAAATGAAATATAGGGTTTGCCATGTCATTTTCAAGCAAATGGCGTTTCTGAACTAATAAATCAGACAGCAATGGATTTGTAGTACAAATATTAACTGCACAATGAGTACCAACTAGTTCAAGCACCAGCAGTAGTGCACCTAGCCAGGCTGTCTGAAGGTTCAAAGGTGTTGATGTATCAGAGAAGAGAATCTCAAATTTCTTATTATCACCACAATCTTTGCCTGAAATCATTCTCAATGCAACAAATAATCTAGGTTTATAATCTCCTGGACACACAACTTCCATGTTTATAAATATATCAATATCATTACATGCATCTACAATCTGTTTGTCCTGTCTTCTTGCTGCTCGAGGGGACAGGAAAAAATTATCCTCTACAAATATTCTGCACACATTTGCTAAATCATCTACCTTGTAATTAGGGTCAAAGGTATGTTTATATTCAGTTGTAAATGGGAGTAAATTCCGTGATTGCTCTTCATCTGTAAGACTCAATTTATTAACAACATCACAGAGAGGATTCCATTTATCATGAATACATAATATGAGTTTTTGAGCTATATTAATGCATTTTCTAGGATGATCACATCATAGTAGTTTCCTATCATAAGAACATGCATCACAGCCACAATTCTGTCTTGAAATACCTGAAAGATTAATTGTATGGGGTTTTTGACCTGCTATGGTCTCTCTATTTGCCAATATCAATGCATCTCCTACAGTTTGCACTCCATGATTAAATTTTAAACAATCAATTCTAGTATAATGCCTCAGTAAAGATTTATATGAGCTATCTTCTACATTTCCCTATATAAAACCCACCATTGAGCCGCTAGCACGGCTGGCCACGGAGATTGCATCACATCAGTGACATAATGTCAGCACACCGCAGCATCACGCACATCAAACATGTTCACACGCTCAACAGTGATGTGTTGTCACCTGACTGACTCATCGGGTGTGGCCCTGGCGCTAGTTCTGACTTGCCCTCAGAGTCGTTCCATTTCTTACCAGTATATAAAAGGCCTGTATTCTATAAGTTCAAGAAGTTTTTAGCCCTCTGCATTTATGATTTAAAGTTGTGCTGTGTATCACTGATATGTCTGCCCAGTCCAGAGCCCTTGCCGCCGCTCTCACCTTGTCCCTCGCTGCCATTGCCCTTACGCCACATGCACCCCACATCCCCCATATCATCACATCATGCCCTCCAAGTCCTAGGTATGGACTCCCCCTTGCAGTACACATTAGTTGGTCGACACTGTGAGTGTTGATGCTGATCTTGTGTTGGTTAGCTTGCG